CTAGTATGCTTACCTGCCATGCTTCTCATGCTTCTCAATTTCAGACAATGTATTGGTGTAAAAGCATTAAACAATCAATAAGCTCGAACCAACCATATCGTGAAAATGGAAAACATATAAAAGCATGCTGTTTGTTAAGTTTGTTGCCTTTATATATCTCACACGACGTGTTCCACAAAAATGAAAGAAATGTTGTTCCACAAAATGGTCTGCTCTGGCGAAACGGCGAAACGCGCCTCTGATGGGCATCCTGGTTCCAAGTCCGGAAGCCTCACTCCGTCACGGAACGCACCGTGCCCTTTGCTCCGTTTGTAGCGTCCTTGTTCCTAGTAGAAAGGCCAGGAGCGCCCCTAGTAGCGTCCTTGCTCCTAGTAGCGATGCCCTTTGCTCCTAGTAGCTTCTTGTTCCTAGTAGTCAGGGTGGGACGGCGGAGATGTGTCCACTGCTCTGGTTTTGCGCCGCACCATCACGCGAAGCAAACGACGTTTGCTTGGCAAACGTTGCTTAGCAAAGCTGCACTGAAAAAGAGTTCCTGCGGCAACTAGTGTTAGGCATCTTTGGCCGGACTAAGACAAGTGCAAAAAAAATGCCGCGACTTGAAATCAGAACAGCTCGAAAGCTTTTAGAAACCGCGTGGCAAATACGGGCCCCTCATGCTTTTGCCGGCCGGAAACCTGATAGACTTTGAACTCACCACCAGTCCGCAACATGTGTCTTTCTTGCCTGCCTTGGCTTTCACTGATGCGCTTCCAGTACTCACTCTGATAACGCCTCATTTGAAAACACAATTGAACATACTGAAGCCAAACAAAACACGACTTTGAGGTTAGAATGTCATGAAAGCAGAATGAAGACACCCACTTGGCCCAGTGCTTAAAGGGAGCCTCGCGCATTGGAGATTCTCCACCCTGTTTGTGGGGCCACTGTGTCCAGGGCGCTGACCTCAGAAAATCCCTCTGAAATCAATGGGTGGGTTATCATAGGTCGTCAATGCAGTTCAACATGAAGCGGCAAGCTTTTACCACTCAATCTGTCCAGGCGTTGGGCAGTAAGGTCATAGCATCCTGAAAGTGACCGTTCCTGGAAGAGCAAAATGTTTCAAGTTTCCAGCTTTGGGTCGATTGGGTGGGCAAGCCCGTTGTTTCTTGAATCAGCTGAGACATTGACAGGTTGCTTCCAAGGTAGAAGGGCTTTCCACATGCAGCATCTCCAACCAATACAATCCAACCTTGACCAAGCCAGTGGCAAATCTATCTGCATGCTGCACGGTACCGTCTTCATGTTGTGCTTTCTAAATGATCTTGACCACCAAAGATGCTGCTTCTTTAGGTAGCTGTGACACCGCACCAATCCCGGGATCCTCTGACTTGGCAAGAGGATTGTGAGAAGCAAACATGTCTGGGCCGCCTGCCTTTGACGTCACCCCGGTCTACGTGTTGCACAACCTACCAGGGTCACTTGGAAAAAAGAAGCAAGGATGGGCACGCTTGTGCCTGGCCTCATTTGAGTGCCAAAATGACCTCCAAAACCGCTGGACTGGACTCTTTGCATGGCTCTTTGCAAATATCCACCGGTTCATCGCAAATCCAAATAGAAAACGCCTTATGAGACCAAGTGACGCAAGGGTCAGGCGTGGAGCGACTTCTTGAGGCCTGGCCCCGTGGGAAAGCTGCAATGTTTTTGGCTTCTGTGCCTTCATATCCACCATCTTCCTTCTATCCAACTTCACTGGACTTTCTTGAGGTTCTCAGGCTACTAGGAGCAAGAAGCTACTAGGGGCTCCCCTCATCTCTACTAGGAGCAAGAAGCTACTAGGGTCTCCTGGCATCGCTACTAGGAGCAAGAAGCTACTAGGGGCTCTTGGCATCGCTACTAGGAGCAAAAAGCTACTAGGGGGCTCCTGGCCTTACTACTAGGAACAAGGACGAGACTAGGAGCAAGCTATTTGTCTTGAAGAGACCCCCCCGACTCTGACGTCTGGCAATTCCCGCCTCAAGAGTTGGTCTAGATAGGCCAACGCCAAGCTGGGGCCGGAGTGCCTGAGTGAAACTTGCCACGCGTGGACAAGCTATGAAAAGCTATATAACCCTTTTCAGGGGAGAGTGCAGAGTTGGCAGTCATATCCTATAGTACAACACAGGCCATTCTCCAACAGACCCAGGTTCTTTTGCAGTATTCTGCCTCAGACCCCTGCTTGCGGCTCTTTTTGTTGGATCCTGTTCTGGCCAGCTTGCTCACACCTGATATGCGCACCGACCGCAATCACACTAAACGGCTAAAGTTGGCCAAGCGACTGTTCCACATCTCCAGGAAAGATCCAAAGATGACCTTGCTGCTTCCTGCCACAGTCCACGGTGACATGTGTGAACGAGACAACACTTAGAAGCAAGTCTTGGAATCCAACACGTGCGACTCACTGTACATCGCTACACGAAACACTCTTGGCCCGTCTCACCTCCCAAGTTTGCCTGGAGCTCCTGCCAGAGCGCTGCATGCCGTGTCGGAGCGTTGAGAAGTTGCCACTACGAGCACCAGCAGGGTTACCAGCCAAGCTCACACGAGCTCGTGGTCAAATGCGCGAACCCCCCACCGTCTGATTAAGCATAAGGTCACAATCCTCCCGCCTCTGCTCTTTGTAAAGACTTTTTAATGCGGCCTAGGTGGCGCGTGTTCAACCAAAGAACAACAGAATCAAAAGAAATCAACAAGATCCTGGCGTACGAGATCCTCTGGCAAGCCCATGATCCACAGCCAGCCCTGCAGGGCGCTCTCATCTCATTCCAGTGCAAGGGGAAACTGAACGAACAATAGTGATATGTGTTTTGGCCGGCTCTACTAAAAGAAAATGTCTTGCGTTTGTGATGCAAACAAGAAACAAATCCCGTACAACATACAATTATGTACAAACGGTTCGAAGCGCGGTAAAAGCCAAGCTACACACAATGACAGCTATCTTCCTGTATATCAAGAACTATATCTGCACTCCAACAAACATGGACATGGCCTGATCTTCTGTGGCCCCTGGACGCAGAATATACATTGGCTGCCCAGGAACTTCGAAGCGCCCAACTCCAGAGCGCGCCTGTGGCCGGAATGGTTTCCAGAACGCCACTGCAACCCTAGGCGATAAAAATCCTTCAACTTACCTTTGGTATGATTGCACTCTAGGCCCAAACCTGTTGCAAAGACTTTCCAATATCATCCGTAGGCTCCAAGGTGAACTTCAAGATCAACGCCTGTCACATAGACAGTATCGGTTGTGGCCGATTAGGCTTAGGGCTGGGGTCAAGCGACAGACCAAACGGTGGTAGTGAGATAAGATGAACTTGTGTGCAGGTCTATCAGAGTATGGCTCTTTTTGAGTATCATGCCTTTCCATACATTGAAAGAGTGACCAGGAATTGCTGACCAAATCATACTCTATGCATCAAACCAAACTCAGCAAACCTCTATTTGTACAACAGAAACAGTCCTCTCAATAATCTATGATTAAAGAACGATCAAAAACAAGGTTAAGTTAAGTTATATATATATATATAATTGACCGCCTCCAGTATACCACTTGTCTGACAACCTTATAGGAAAACAAAAATCCTGTCCCTATCAATACGGCCTCTACAACTCAGGTTCGGTACCCTGACAAAATACTACACATTCTTCATGAAGTGGCTATGCAGCTATGCAATCATGAACATGGAAGACACTTGACTCTCCCTGCAAAATGATGTTTCCATGCAGCTAAAAGCACAGACAGATTCTGTCACCATGAAAGATCATCTACAGGTTCGGTTTCGACATCATCTGCTTGCTTTCTTTTCGCATCAGCCAACGTCCTCTTCTGCAGGATTCCCGTCAAGGGAGCACCAATGTGCGGTGTGATCCCTATCACCTTCGGAAAGGACTAAAAATAGGTCCAAGCACAGGTGATGCTGAAACATCTTGGAAAGCTTCCTTGTGTCGCATGGTGTAGTACACGGCCAACCTGTAAACAAGCCCGACAAAATGCTCACAAAATAGTTTTGCATGTACATGTGTTCTACCCCGGAAGAGGAGAAACAGTAAACCTGGAAATCTTGAGATGAATAAATACTATTCCAAAAAGAACATGCTGAAGGATGCTGAAGCTTTGCCGAGCCACTGGTCCCTGTTTGGCTTGAAAATCAAGATCAATCCGAAGCCCGGCAGGGGATGAGGCAAGATTGGCATGTGCGAAACATGAGAACAATCGGGCAAGGAGACTTCTTGGAAGAACTTGGACCAGTTGCTGACCAAGCCATGTCGCAAACAAATAGACTCGCAAACGCCAGGAGGCTTGTTCTGCCCACAAAATACGCTGCCAGCGATTGATTTTCGAATGCCCGCAGGGTGTGAAAAGTCAGGAGGAGCGAGATGAACCCGGTGAATGTAGTTGCCCGCATTTGAGTCACTTGGGCCCAAGCCACGATTCCGCAGGTTAATGGACATATAACCATATCCAAATCGCGATTTCAGCAACAGGTGAGATGTTAGGATGTCATTTGTTGAGACATCCACGGATGATTCTGGTCTCAACTCAAGTATCTTTTTTCGGTCGACCAAGCGTGCTTGCGGCGCTGGTGGATGCCACAGGCAGAAGCTTCGCAATGAGCCCAGTACAGTTGGGCAACTTGTTAGCCAGTTCTGAGTCAGGAATCTTCAACTGAGACAACATATCCATAAAGAGACTGTGTGATTTTCATGCCTTCCAATGACGCCCGCTTTGAGTGACTAAGCTTGAAACAAAGTGCTCAGGTCCAACATGTTGTGTCGCCAACTTTGCAAAGCCAACTTGACGGCAAGGATTCATGCCAACCACCGATGCCTCGCAGTACACTCAAGAAGCTAGTAGTAACAAGGGCATCGCTACTAGGAGCAAGGACGCTACTAGGAGCAAGGACGCTACTAGGGGCTCCTGGCATTGCTACTAGGAGCAAGGACGCTACTAGGAGCTCCTGGCCAACCACCGATGCCTCGCAGTACACTTTCTTCAAAATCACTACCGTACTGCGAGGCAGGTGGAGTCGGAGGCCATTGCTATTAGGTTGAATTTCGTGCTATTAGGTTGCTTATGCTTTCTACTCCTCGGCATCCCATGTGGCCCATGGCTCAGGTTGAAATTCATCGCTTAACAGGTTGTTTTGACCCACTTCAGCCCTACGAAGTGTGCGGCTTCTCACGACTGCTGCATGCTTCATGAAATCCAAGTCAAGCCTTGGTTCAAACACGGTCAAATCATCTTCTTGCGCAGATCCCCAAGACCATCCTTGCTTTTGACAAATGACTGCTGAGTCGAGCATTCCACAGAGCTTGTAGAAGGTGAAGCCGTCACCTTCATTCCGCCGCATGCCAACCAAAAAAAGTGTTGGGTCGAAGGTGACCCAAAAAAACATTTGTCGGTGGAGACGGGGGGTTCCCCGAGCTGCATCATCTGTTCAAGGTGTCACAACTGCAGTGAACCTTCAACCTGCTGGGGTTCGGCATTCGTTTTGCCATGAATTGTGGTTCTTTTGACAGCACAAGATTGCGAACATATTTCGTTTTTGTTCGCGCAAGTTGGCTTTGCATGCAATGGTTTTTTTAGATTTTTTAGTTCCCCAAAAACCCGATCTGAGTGAAACTGCCTGAGGAGCAGGTTTCCAGGTTTGAGACATTGTCCTACGAACCTGCCAAAAGTGTGAAAAACCATGGGCTTCGCCATGCAAAATGACTGACCATCATTTTGCACTGTAAAAACCAATACATTGTGAACATCATTGAAAAGGCACGCCTTGATAGTCAGCCATTTTTGCATGTTTTCGATATGTTGATGTCTCTTCAGGTGTCAGCCATTTTTGATTTTACCATGCTTGAGCTTCTTCTGGACGTGAGAAGATTCAGCACCGGCTGAATGTCCCGCGACATGGAGACCGCAGCCAGCGATGCGAAGCAACAAAACGTAAGAAAAAGCAAGAGCAACCTGAAAGCCTTGATCCAAAATCATCTCCAAAAAAGAAACATATCCATAACCCCCCACCCGGACATCGAGTTAACATGAAAGAAACATAGCATGAATCGTGTTTGCAAATGAACATCAACTTAACATTCCAGAAACATAACATCAAACCATGTTCGTGTGCTAATACCCCCCCCCAACCCCCACCCCCCCGAACATCGAGCGACATCGAAAACTTGACACGAACCTCTCGGAGAACCCCCCGTCTGGAGGGACATTTGTTTGGTATTAAAAGAAAGGTTTCTTTTTGGTCGCAACATCTCGAAATAGAAATGATCCTCAGAACGTTGGAATCAACGGAACATCAACGGTAAAATGACCAAAACTGCTGTAAGCTTTCCAGTTGCCAATGGTATGATTTAAAGAAACCACCAGCAAGAAATGGTCTGGTTGGGCCGGAAGCACAGCGACCCTGAACAGCTGCTCGTTGCGATTCAGGCAAGCCAGTCCACACTTCAGTGTAGCCGACGACATCTGCACGTGGCCCACCAGGTCACGGAAGCACATCCCAGGATTGATAGACAAAGCATCTTTGCATTCCTTAGTCAACTCTGATGAGCCAACTCGTTTTACACATCTTTGGGAATCAAATTAAGCATAATAGAATTATTTGGTACAAATGAGCGTCCACAAAGTGATCCTCCATCGGAGATTTGGGGATTGCCAAGAATGGGCCTGAGCTGAACCCCACGTGGAATTAAACTCGACCAAGCATGAAAAACAAAGCTGAAGTATCATAATTTTAAAGCAGCCACAATGGTTGCTAATCAAATTCAAGGTGACGCCCAAAGCCCTTCCGCAAGCGGCCACCAAGCCAAGGATTAGCTCGAACTATCTCCCGCACCTCGATCACCCATTCGCTCGGAGTTCCAAACAGCATCAACTATAGGTCAACACAGCACAAAACTAAAAATTAATCCGGTCCGGGTCCACTTCTAATGCATTTTAGTACTTTCTTGTGCTGATCTTGTGCCCAGAAACGTGGCACCTTGTGTGAAACAAGCCTTATCAAGCCCCTTGTTGCGAGGATCATTTGCCCGCGGATCTGGAAGGTTTGAAGCATCAGGCATTGTTTGGAAAACAAATCAGTCCATCACTGTCTATACGCATTCAACAAGTAAGTAGATAGATAGATAGATAGATAGATAGTTTCAGTTTTCAGTTTCGGGCGCTCCGAAGCGGTCTCCGGATTGCGAGGGCGCAGGAGGAAGTTCCTCTCCTGGCTGGTCTTCATGACCAGTCTAAGCACCGTGGTGCGCTATAGGCGGAATTAAAAAGTCATCATGGACCAAAAACCACTGTGGCAGTCCATGAAGTCAAGCAATTCAGAAGGGCCTGGGCCGGTTCACATTCCTGGATATCAGGGAGAACACAGGGCACCAAACAACTTGGACAGGCCGGTTCACAATCGCTGATCCACTCAGCGAGCGGAGAACACAGCACTACGCAGTTCGGAAAAGATGGGCCAATTGAAGGCCTTCCTCGGCTATAGTGCGGCCTGGCATGAACATGGGACCAGAGTGAGCTTGTTGGCGTCTGTTCCACTCTGTCCCAATCCTTACATTCAAATCAACTCTGCACATGTGGAAAAGCTGCAGGACGGGTGGACAGCAAGGGACATGCCGTGCATCCATGGCACGGGATGTTCGCAGTCTCTTGGTGAGTCTGCAAAAAATCGTCAATCTTCAGCATCTCACTCAGTTCAGGGTGTCGAAGGCTCACGCGGCGGCATAGGGCTTCGTGCGAGATGATCAGCTTGCCGCAAACACTGCAGTGAGAGCGAAGCCGAGTGAGGACAGCCCCAGGGTAGCGCTCCATGTGCATGGCGTGTTGTTGACGCAGCGTCGCAATGGTCCTGGGAAAGGTGTCGGTGCCCAGGAGCCCAAACCTGCCAAGTCCTAAGTCGACCGCATCTTCCCTGGCCAGCCACACAAAGATCCAGCTGTCAGTCAGGGGTGGCTGACTACCAACAACCTGAGCTTCAACCAGATCGTTGAACACTATCCATGACAAGCCAATGGCTTGCAAGTGTCCAGCTTCATCTTGACCTTTGTGCGAGACTGCAGCAACCACGATGTAGGAATGCTGTTCGAAGGTCAGCTTCCTGTCACCTTGGATTGGCAGCCAAATGCGAGCGTTCACTTCAAGGTTCCAGCAGCACTTGCGAAGGTGGCCTTGGTGATCATGGGCAAAACGGTCAAGGTGCAGGCATGCAAGACGACCACTGGCAAGAAAGGTGGTTTGCATGCCTAGATAATGTGTCCAGCTATCAACCAATGTTTGAAGGTGAGTCTCCACTGTGTTTGCTGGTGCGCCTCAAGGTCGGAGGATTGTGTGGCGCCCCACGATCAGTAATTCTGATCTCTTCCCCTTCCTGTACAATCCTTTGCCAGGAGCAGAGAGGCTTGATCCATTCGAGGAATTTGCCCAGAAACTCGTGGAGGTCCTGTTGACCTTCACCCCAAGGCCTGAGGAACTCCCCAAACCCTGGGAGATCTTTCAAACTAATCCACATGCTGTCCATGCCAAAAGGCTCAGCAAACTTCTCCGATCCCTCCCCCAACTCGTTCCACATAGGTTGAAGCAGGGCCCAAAACATGGCTTGAAAGGCAGCATTTTGATAGCAGTCATTTTGGGCATTGCTCAACCTGACAGTCGATTGGCCATATGATCCCCTCGCCAAACTGGCGGCGATGGGGTTGTCTCTCACTGTGTGGGGCCTGAGGCGGCCGAGCAGGAGGCTCCACACCGACGAAGCTGACAGCATCTGAAGGACCTCGTAGAGTCGTTGGTGTCGGAGGCTTACCTGTAGCACCCAGGGCATGATTTTGGTCTGGTGGGAGTCCTGATCTGAGGCCTTCAGGGACTTGAGTCTGACTACCGCTGTCGGATCCCTGATCAGTTCGATCAGCTCTTCCAGAAGGCTCTGCATGCTGGTCATCGAGATGAGCGTCTTCTGCATGACTTGTACCTGTTTGGTCTGCTGGTTCCAAGACAGGTAGTTCCACGCTCCAGCCTCTGTGATGAGGTTGTGACGAATGGCTTCTTGCCAAATCTCCATCGTGGTGGAGGCTTGAGCCACTTTCAACATCCTGTCCAGGAGTGCGTGAGAGATCATGGTCATGAGCTTGAGGCGCAGGGACTGGGTAGCCGTTTTCTGGTCCACTTCTTGCTTCCAGGCTACTGTTGTCTGCTGAATAGCTGGAATGATGCTGGAAGTCCCCGGCTGGAGAAACAGTATGTACGTGTCTTGAACCGCCAGGGCCTGCAATTGACTCTCGTGCCTCAAGGTGAGGGTGGCTAGAAGTTGAAAAGTGCTTGGAAGCTGGTCTGAGGAAGGACATGATCGACTGGATCAGATCACCGTGGTGATCATGTAGGTGTGCAACAAGATCACCAGGTTCACATGGATCTTGACAGATGCTGCACTCTTGACTAAGCTTCGTGCTCCACTCTTCATTGTTCCAGTAGAAAAGAGGGTCATCTGATGGCAGCGGAGCCTTGGTCAAGAAGCGTTCATCCTGCTGTTGCTGTGGTGCGACAGCCAGATGTAGCACTGCAAGCTGTTGAAACACCATGCATCTGTGTCCCTTTTTTGTGGAATAGTTTCCACAAAGACATGGCTTGCCACTGGCCGCTGCAATGTTTTGATATTTGCTCTCCAAGGTGCTCATGGGTCACATGCTGTGGTGATTTGCCTATGCGTCGTAGGTCTGAGTGTATTTTGTTGCACAAAAGCTGTAATCCCTCCTGTCGAAGCCCGCAGCATCCAAGGCCGTGTGCATAGCTCGACAGCACACAGGTGGACCACAGTTGCGCTCTGTCCCGAGACGTGAGGACGTGTTTACCATTCAGCCATGGTCTCAGGCGGTGTCTGGTGATTTGTCCATCTTGTAGACGGTGACGTAGTGTCATCTGCTCAAAATTCCGAAAGGACAACTGCACCCCTAAATACGTGCGTTGAGACACCAATTTGATCATTGTATGGCCTTGTGTTCGAGGGATGAGGATCCATGCGCAGCCATCTTGAGTTTTGGTGACATTCTTGATGCATGTTTTCATGCCTCTGCCTTCAACTCGAAGTAAAATGGTTGTCTTGGCAAAGGAGATGACAAGTCCATGTTTTTCAAGAAGATCAAAAGTGGTTCCAATCTGTCGAAGGACCTGGTGCAGTTCTTGCGCGCTGTGAACGCACCATTTGCTCAAAATATCGTCCGCGTATGTGATGAGATGATTGCATATCCACCCAAAAGCCTCTTGAGGGCAGTGATCATTGATGGTCATCCCTATTCGATGACATACCAAGATCAAAAAGGCCGTCCATTCAAGTGGAGAGGCCCGGCATCCCTGTCTCACTCCCCGTGAGGTTGTGATGGACCGGCTCAGACCTCTGTGTTTGAGGTGATAGTGGGCCTCATGAAGCCAATGTAACAACACTGTTTGTAGGGACGGAGGGCATCCACAAAAAGCGAGACCTTCTGCCAACTGTTGTCGTGGAAGTCTGTCATAGGCTTGTTTGAGATCCATGGATAAAATGAGCCCGCCTGGCAGTGTTTGGGTCTGGGCAGATGGTGTCCATGGCCCCGGTCTCATCGCCTGACATCGTTCACGAATTTCAGGGCAAAACTGGTGTGCCAGGTATAAAGCTTCAGGAACTCCACGATGTGGTAGATAAGCGAATACTGGATATTTTTGCATGGTAGGTAGCATGAAGTCCCGTGCCTTCTGCATGTATGTTCCCAGGAGGGCCTTACCAAGGCCGCAGGTCAAAGCAATCGGCCTCAGGTCAGCCGGGGTCAACACTTTATTCTTGGCCAAAAGAGTCAAGTGCGCATCCTTCCAGCATGCTGGCACGCATGGTGCACTTTGCCATTGAGACCACAGGTAAGCTTCCAGGCAGCGCGCAAGCGGTTCAGCCATGGACTTGATGATATTGCCCGGAAGTGTACCTGGGGCCACAGCTTTATGGATCTTGGTCTTGGAGAGTTGCACTGCAATTTCATCTGCAGACACCAACCATGGTGCACACGTCAACGGACAAGGTTGATCTTCATGACCAAAGAGATCGTGAAAATGATCACATAGCCAATCTAGTTCCTGGTCAGGCGCAAGGATCTGTCCTTGTGGTCCTCTGAATCGGATGGCCTTCCGAAGCTGTTTGGGCGTGAGAGCCCTCACTGCCTCGTAGAGGGCTCTGGAGTCGTGCTGGTGCGCTGCCCTTGCAGCAGATGCAGTGATGGTCCGAATGCGATCTCGTTTGCTTTGTCGACAGTGAAGTTGGAGTTGTTTGTGATATTGCATGAACTTGGTCCAGTGTGCCCATCTGAGGAACAGGCCATGCAAATCTCTGCCACAATGTCTGGCTCTGAAGAGATTCCTCCATTTCCTGGCGACCAGAGATTGACACTGTGGTTGTAGCCAGAGGGGCATGGAGGGGTCCACCTTCGTTGTGGCCATAGTGCTCAATTGAAGAAGTCGTGAGGTCAGGTGTTCCGGATCCTGTGCAGGGAATTGGGCAGTCAGAGCGGCGGCCTCCTGCAAGTATCTGCGCCATCCGTCCTGATGTTGGTGCGCAGCTCGGATCAAGGCCTTGGTGCGATTGTGAGGCAGCACATGGGTTGACTGAGTTTTGCAATGGATCCAGACCTTCCAATCTGCCGGAATGCTTCCAATCAGCGGTCTGTGGTCCGGAAAAGCTCTGTCCTGTATCAAAGGAAAATCAACCAAACATTTGGTGTGCCTGGCACGTTTGTCACATTGCGCCTGTCTCATGAACAGGTAGTCGATGGTCGAGGATCCTCTGGGTCCCACATACGTGGGAGTGTTGTCGTTGGTCCTGAGATTCGTGAGACCATAGTCCTTGATGAGGCTTCGGAGCATGTGGGTATCTGAGGCAGCAACTCCATTTCCATCACGAAGGGAAGTGTTGAAGTCACCTCCCAACACCAGTGTGTTTCGAACTGGGAGTTGATGAAGTAGCTGATGAACCGAATTCCAAATGTCCAGTCTATGTTTCATGGGTTCAGGTCTGGTTATTGTTTGCCCCGTAGGAACCTGATATATGTTGACCAAATCCATGTGGTCCTTTTGAGATAACAGCGGACATGAAGGAGTCGGCCAGACATCCAGTCCTGAAAGCTGATATTGTGCCTAGGACAAATGGAGGTTCGTATTGCTGTAATCAATCCTCCTCCTGCTTTGCGCAATTCAGGAGAAGGGATGATATGGTAGCCATGTGATGTCCAAGGCTCTTCGATGGACCAGTGGGTGCTCTGGATCATCAGGGCGTCAATCTGTCGAACCCTGGTCGTAGGTTGCTCATGCCTGTTCGAAGGAAGCCCAGTGAGGAGGCGGCCATGGTAGTAGGCGAAACCATGCAATGCAAGTCTTTGTTGAGCTCGTTTGAAGCTACGTTTGCGAATTCTATTGATCCCGTAGGATTCCAAGGGCCCTGTGCCATGAGTTTCGGGGGGAGCTTGTCGGATGTGGTCAGACTTGTCCCCTCTCAGACGGGGCATGGCCCCCGTCCAACCCTGCCCTTTTCCGTCACTAGAAAAAAGGTGCTCAAAACAGGATCGAGCCGTGACGGACCTGGAATTGGGACCAGGCAAGCCCAGCGGAGCGCTAAGGTCCAAGGTCAGGGTCAGGATCACACCGCAGAGGAAGAGGAGGTGCCAGAGAGAGCGCCAATCCAGCTGCCGGGGAGCCCTGACTCCCAAAAAGAACTTGCTCTCAGGGTCGCCATGACCACGCAGGCACCACGTGCATCGAGAGCGTGGCCGGGCAGCCCAGCTGGGCCCGAAAGGCTGATAGATAGATAGATGGATGGATAGATAGATAGATAGATAAATAGATAGATAGATAGATAGATACATAGATACATAGAGAGAGATAGATAGATAGATAGATAGATAGATAGATAGATAGAGTGTCATCGAAAGGGTGCCAACTCAACGCCTTGCAGCAATCTTGCAGCTTGATCACAAAACTTGTCCAAAGTATCTTATACACTATACTGTATCACTACGGCCGCTATTGATTCTCAAGCAATGCCCATATATCTGCGCTCGCACACAACCAGAATCGGGATATTCGGGTTGAAAGACTCTGCACCGCTGTGCATGATTGCTCTATTTTGATAGCTGCCTATCTACAACTAAAACCATAAGCAAAGATTCAGCTAAACAAAAGCTTCATTGGCGAGTTGGCAATGTATTTGAAGCACCTCACAACACCTTTTCACATTTTTTCACCTGTTCACCTTATCTTTCTTGAAACCCTGAGCAGCAGTACTCTCTTCAGGCACTCTCTTCTTCAAGTACTCCACAGGGACAACGGCTCGACCAGAGTAATAGACAGTTGCAGTGCAAATTGGCGGCACCAGCATCAGATTGCGCGGGCTCGCCTTGGTTGCTCATCTGAAGCAGAATTTCCAGCCTGAGTGATGGATACAAAATGTATATGCATGCAAAAGTGATTTGACAACAATAAACCGCCAAACTGGCATCAAAAAAACATAGTATCTATCTTGCGGGGGTCAAAAAGGGGTGAGGGATCTAAAAAAATAAGTACCGCATCAATAGAAAAAGACTCGACGGGTGAAAAAAATAAAAAGTCGATCAAAAACATTCCCAGTGAGCAATGAAAGGAAGGAGACTGGGCAAAGCACAACAACAGCAGGGCAGGCGACCAGAGGACCATGAAGGGATGATCAACAAACAATCAAAAAAATGCGAGGGTGTGCAATATTTGGTGTCGATATGCGATGGGGTGACTTTAAAAAGTTGGTCGTGGCAGGCCCAGTAAGAGGTTAAAAACAAAATCAGAAGATACTTTCCGCAGGGAAACCAGAAACAAAGAAAAGAGATGGTTTCAGTTTCCGTAGGGAAACGATCTCACAAACTAATGACAAAGACAAGAGGTAACTTATGTGATCAATGAGGGGCCCATCCACCACAGGACAGTGAAAGGATGGGTGCCTGGGTGACCTTTAGAAAATCTGTCGTGGTAGGCTCAGCCCATTGGCAAAAGTAATGCAGATTTCGTGGCACCTCCCCCAGCGAACCAAACATCAAAAGCCATCGCTCAGAAAGTGACACAAGGACCAAGGCAACCGGGTAGCGCTTTGCAAACCTCGTGCTTTTGACCAATATTGACGGACTAGGACACCAAAGGACCAGGGGACCAAAGGACCAGGGGATCAATGGACTAGGGCACCAAGAGAAGGGGACCAATGAACCAGGGGACCTTCCCTTTGAGTGGACCAAGGAACCAGTCCAGGAGACCGAAGGACCAGGCGACCAGTGGACTAGGAGCTTGAGGGCCTAGGGGACGACTAGACTTGAAGACTTGATATTTTTTGATCCTTTGCTCTTTACGTTTTTCTCTTTGATCCAGATGCCAGACGCCGTCAAAAAGGTCCCAAAGACTTATGGGAAGTCTTCTGCGTTCATCCTCTTGCAGTTAGAACACCTACGGTACCGTGTGATGTCTTGTCATCTTCCATCTCCTCTGAGAAACTTCCATCTCATAGTCAAGTTCCAGTCTCCTCCAACCGCTTGGCAACTCGCCGAAAAGTGGCAGCCCAGCGAAGCAAGCGTCGATACCATCCATGCACATGGCTGGGGCATCTTATTCATGCGCATCGTGTCAAGAAAGCAGAAGGTCCGAAGATACCTACAGAAGTCCTACAGGTTAACTAGCCAACTACACAAGTCAGAAAGTCAACCACAAAGCCTGAGGTGGCAAGTCTGTTCCCTTCATGTCTCTGCATTCTAACCAGGCCAAAAAGCAGCAACGGTAAAGCACAATTTGATTTGAAAAGCCGAAGCCAGTGAAAGCTGTTGAACCTAAACCTGATGTCTCAACAGTTTGTGAGATGCCAGGAACTGTGTCCCTCTGTTACACTCTGAAATTCGCTCCGTCGCCAGCCTCTTCGTGGTGACCAACTGAAACCTGAAATCCGTGTCCTGGTACAAAGCTGGGTGGTGCACTCCAACGCATTCACTTCCAGGGAGCATGCAAGTCCAACCTCACCTTGGCGCCATGTGTCAGTAGGCCAGTTCCTTCCCGTTGCCACAAACACTACGTCCTCAGCCAAGTGGACGTGGCAATCTCTCAAGTTCACCACATTCTGCCGCGGAGATCAAGGACTATGACTATGACACGGTGTCTGTGTGTGTGCGCGTCAAACCCTGTTTCAAAGGCGATTCAAGCACACTATTATCGGAGGGGGCAGTAGCACCATCGCAAGTTTCCTGCCAACGAAGACAGTTGCAATCCTGGTGAAACAAGACCTGATCAGCCTGGCATTCCCGCATAGTTGTGATGTTCCAAGCTGTGTCTTTCCTCTTCCCGTAAAGTGCTAATACTTCTCCTTGCTCAAACATTTTGTTCTGCCGACGGGCCTTCCAGTTCTGCAAGTCAAGGTCTGATCTGCAGTAAGTTACAGGGCTATCATCACGGGACCTTCACAATTGATGTTTGCTCTTGCGGGCCCTATGTCTAGGTGTGTGTGTGTGCGTGTGTGAAGCCCTGACTCCAGGGAATCCGTTGATTTGGTTCTTCGTGTTCGAGTTCTTTCTTGGCAAATAGCAGGGGAGTGGAGCAGGCCTGCAGTGCTCCACTTAACAAAGCTCTCTGCAGTGTCCTGAGGATATCACTGGAAACGTCCAACGACGTACCTACGTTATGACTTTCATTACCCAATTGGTCCCTGCTTGTAGTTAGAACAATATTCCGGCCATCGCAAAAAGACAAATGAGTGAGGAAGACAAGACAGACAAGGGGTGTGTGGTTGCGATGAAATGGAACCAAGTGACCAGGGACAACCAGATGAGCCAAACCTCCTTATAACAACCTGGGCGACCTCAGACCTGGGTTTCGTGTGCGGGTGCACGTACGCACTAAGGATCGGACCAGTGTGTGCGCAAAAGAGAAAAAAGGATGAGATGACGAAACATGAAGCCAGAAAGACATGAAAAGAAAGAGGAAAGAAAGTGTGTGTGTGTGTGAAGGGAAAAGGGCAACAAGGGAACCAAGTGGAGGGGCCAAAAGGCGAGGAAACCAAACCTCATTAAGGTGACCTAGGAAGACCTAGCCTGGTTTGAAATGTACACGTGGTGTGTGCACCTAAGGTGGCGACAGATCCCAATGGACCTTGAAATGCTTTGGTCGCTGCGACCACGTTTGTCATAAGCCTGCTCTCGTCCGCTGTGACACGTATCGGCGTGCTGGATGGCTGCCTGCTTTCAATCAATAGTTCATCAAGTCTTGGCGAAAAACTTTGGCGTAAGCCTCCTGCAGGTTTGTAAAACAGATTGGCCATAAACCTGAGAGTCTTCACATCCAAAGTCATGAACACAAAAAGATCGACAAGACATCGATCGGCGAAAACTTGACTGCCAATGGTGAACCGCTGCGCGCACACATGCACCTTAGCCTAAACCTTTGTTTCCTCATGCCTCCCCTTGTGGGAGGCGTGTGTGTGTGTGTGAAACCCTTGGAGTCACAGGCAACCCGTTGATTTTGCTTCTTCGTTATGGGAGTGAAGCAGGCCTGCAGAGCTCCACTTATATAACTGGAGACGTCCAGTGACGTACCTGCGTTATGACTTTCATCCCCAATTGGTCCCTGCTTGTAGTTAGAACAATCTTCCGGCCATCGCAGCGGTTCACCATTGGCAGTCAAGTGCTCGCCGGTCGATTTCTTGTCGATCTTTTCGTGTTCATGACTTTGGGTGTGAAGACTGTCAGGTTTATGGCCAAACTGTCTTACATTGTCTTTAACCTGACCTCTTAGGCATTCATACCTAGGTGGGCGTGTGGCATGTGGCATTCAGTTCCTTACGCAATATCTCGTGTGTGTGTGTGTGTAACCCTTGGAATCACAGGGATCCTTTCGGATTGTTTTTGCTTTTGTCTCTTCGTTATGCAGCAGGGGAGCGGTGGGCATTCTTGAAGTCACCGCTCAACGAAGACACTTCAAGTTTGCTGTGATATGCAATCTGGACGCAGATTGCACGTACCTGCATTTTCCTTTTCCGAATGGCAAGAGGCTAAGCCAAGAACCTCGAAGATTTGAAGATTTGATGTTTTCTTTGAACTGCAGATGCGAGCGGCACGCCGTCAGCCTGTTCGTCCGTCGTTCGTTCTTTTCCTTTTGGGCCCTACTTCCTCTTGAAGACCTCCAGGATCCAGTGGTTCGTAGATGTGCCCTTAGGGATTGGAACCCTAGGCCGGCGTGTGGCACCGCTTTCAGTTCAGTATGCATATCCACAAGTGTGTTTGGCTACGCGCCAACCCGGGATGAGCCCGCAGAGTGCCTCCCGTGGACCCGTTGAACGGGGGTTTGTCGAACGTATCCACTGCCCGGATACAGAGCAGCTCGCAGCGAGCGTAGGTGGCCTAGGCCGTACGTACGATGATTTTTGTCTCATCTTTGGAATTCCGTGGTCGCAGCGACCGAAGTTTGTTCAAGGTTCATTGGGACCTGTCCCATTCTCAGGTGCACACACAGCGTGTACATGCAAACCAGGCGAGGTCTTCCTAGGTGCTTCTAATGAGGTTTGGTTTCATCGGTTCTCGTCCCCTCCATTTGGTTCCCCTTTCATCCCTTCCCCTTCACACACTTTTGCTTCCTCTTTTCTTTCATGTCCTCCTGTCTTCATGTCTGGTCATCTCATTCTTTTCTTCGTTTGCGCGCACATTGGTCCCGGCCTTAGTGTGTACGTGCACTTCTACATACATTCACACAGGTTTCAGGTCGCCCAGGTCTTTACAATGAGGTGGGCTTCATCGGTTGTCCCTGTGCACTTGGTTCCCCTTTCATTTCCACCACACGCACCTTTGTCCCGTCTCGTCCTCCTGTCATGTCTTCATTCTTTTGTCTCTTGTGCGCGCACACGCGCACATTTGCCCTCACCTTAGTTTTTCGCCTCCCCTCGGGGAGGCGTGTGTGTGTGTAACCCTTGGAATCACAGGGATCCTTTCGGATTGTTTTTGCTTTTGTCTCTTCGTTATGCAGCAGGGGAGCGGTGGGCATTCTTGAAGTCACCGCTCAACGAAGACACTTCAAGTTTGCTGTGATATGCAATCTGGACGCAGATTGCACGTACCTGCATTTTCCTTTTCCGAATGGCAAGAGGCTAAGCCAAGAACCTCGAAGATTTGAAGATTTGATGTTTTCTTTGAACTGCAGATGCGAGCGGCACGCCGTCAGCCTGTTCGTCCGTTCTTTTCCTTTTGGGCCCTGCTTCCTCTTGAAGACCTCCAGGATCCAGTGGTTCGTAGATGTACCCTTAGGAATTGGAACCCTAGGCCGGCGTGTGGCACCGCTTTCAGTTCAGTATGCATATCCATAAGTGTGTGTGTTTGGTGGACATGACCAGGCCCCACCAAATCCAGTGAGGGTGGTTGCACTATGGCAAGCAAGCAATTAATGCGTTAAGGCTGCGACATGGTCGGCCAGCAAGGCCTACTCAAATGTTGATTCGCTCTGTTAGCGGCATGTACTGTAACTTTCTCAAGTAGCAATTGCAATTGTTGGATGTCTACTAGCAAAAACTGCACCATATTGAATTTGAATCCAAAACATATTGATATTGCCTCGGGGTCGTCAATTTGAGAGCCCATATGCAAAGCCCCAAATCCAGATTCGGTGTACTTCTCGAACTCCTGAGTCATGAGATGAGAGGACAAATGTGAGATCTCATGATTGATTGATTGATTGATTGATTGATTGATTGCTTAGTTGATTGATTGATTGATTGATTGATTGATTAATTGACTGACTGACTGACTGATTGATTGATTGACACATGGGCTTTGCGACAAACTGCTCAAACAAAAGACTCTTCACAATGTTTTCTGACGAACGATCATTCGGTAATCCCATGATCGAGTCATCCTGGGAGAAGTTTGCAGTGTGCGCATCAGCACAGTGCATGGACTCTCAAACAATCATTTCGAACGGGAACAAAACGCGCAAATGCCAACCTGCCAGGCAAAATGCTGATGCTGGTCTGGGAGGCAAACGTTGGCTCCGAATACCAGGTGATGCTAGTTGCAAATTTGCAAACTGATCTCAGAAGTTTCACTGTCAACATCTATATATATATACCAGTTTGTGAGCACAGCATGAAAACTCCCAAAAGCAACAGCTGATTCGGGTCCCACCACCCAGGGAGGTGGCAAATGTTCGGAAAATATCCGCTTAGAAGCGAAGGTGATGCTCATAGCTGCACCTTTCCACAAGTGTGACCCAATCACAGTGTCCACACTTCACATGCAATAGAAGCAACATTGTACGTACACAAGGGCGCGACATGGTCATGGCACAATGGGGAATCCAACCAAGCATTCAGCACCATGTTATACAGTACAAAAAGATACAAACAGGATTTGATGATGCTAGAAGTGTCACATTCTTCGCCAAGGTTAGATTCGCGAAGCTTGCCAGAGCCATGCGGAAGATCGCGCTAGCATTCAACGATGCTATGCCGTACACAAGTGAACCTGTGTGAGCGACATGAAGCGGTCATGTACAGCGCTTAGAGCAGCGCAAGGCATGAATTTATCACATCTGCGCAAGGAGTGAATTCTGACCTCTCGGACTTTCAG